AGGCTGGCCTCGAACTCACAGAGATCCGCCTGGCTCTGCCTCCCGAGTGCTGGGATTAAAGGCGTGCGCCACCAACGCCCGGCCATTTTCCACTTCTTAAGGCATCCCTTTCTTTACCTTCATCCTTTGAACTTAACGAATTTAACCTTTCTGGTTGTGTCTGCACTATCAGAATACATTACTTTAAATCACACAGTTCTGGTGGATATTTTTTGTGACAATTAAAATGTCTCATCCTGCTGCTTTAGTCATGTAAGACACTCAGCAGTCATCCTAGTAATGTGGAGGGCCATGTGGCTTCTCTACCTGATGGAGAAAGTAGCCATTTTGCAATTGAGCAAACAGAAATTCTTAAGAGAATTTTATGATAAACTCATCTTGTAAAAGAAATAAGGCCCCTCCCACCAGGAGCCACATCGGTAGCGTGTGCAAGTTCTGTGCGGTGTAGACCCGTACCCCATCTGAATGCCCCGGTTTGCATCTTCCTTTAGCCATTTGACACCAAGACACCCGACGATGTGAATCTGGAAGTCAATCCTCTTGCCCAGTAGCTCCAGCGGGTCAATAACCATGTCCTCCTCACCGTGTGCCCTACAGACAAGAGGTGAACATCAGTCTCTGGATCAGGCTGGACCCAGGCTAGTTAGCACTCAAATGTCACGGGAATGAAAGAGTCCTTAAGAGATAGGCAGAGATGGATGATTGCCCTGAAGGAGGGGTGGGTGGTAATATCTGCGGTAGAATTCACTCACTGGAGAGCCGGTTCTGCATGGTGCTTCTGGGAGAAATACCATCTCTAAGGCTCCCAGCCCAGAACAGAGTACAGACATCTTCATGCAGTGAATGTGTGTGGGTACGGTGCTGAACCCACATTGAAGACAGGTTGGTCCCACTGGGGAGGAGGAAAGACCTCAGATGCTGCAGCCTAACTTGTCATCTACCTTGGTGAGTCATTCCTAGTCCAGAGTCAACGTGATCCCTCCAGCCTCAGAAATCGATTGGGAAAGCTTTCTAACTGGGGACCTCTCTTATGTCAACCATGTCCACAAAGTCTGAAACTTACACACGGAACGTCATGTTGTTAATTTTCAAAGTGACCATTGGGCAGCCTAGGTAGACAGTGTAGACAGGTGACTAGCTAGTAGCCTGAAGTCCCTATTGTTGCTGGAGGGCTTCTCTCCAGGTTCCCCAAGCCCCGCAGTCCCACAATCCACTTATAAAATAATCACTCAGACGCTTATATCACTTATAAACTGTATGGCCGTGGCAGGCTTCTTGCTAACTGTTCTTATATCTTAAATTAACCCATTTTTATAAATCTATACCTTGCCACGTGGCTGGTGGCTTACCAGAGTCTTTACATGCTGCTTCTCCTGGCAGTGGCTGCAATGTCTCTCCTCCTTCTTCCTGTTTCCCCAATTCTCCTCTCTCCTTGTCCCGCCTATACTTCCTGCCTGGTCACTGGCCATCAGTGTTTTATTTATATAGAGTGATATCCACAGCACCCTATAGACACTTTTGGACCCAGAACTCTGAGGTTCTCCTACTCCCTTCTCAAGTGAGTTTCCTCTTATGAAGACAAAAGGTCACAATGGATGTTTGTACCTAGCCCAGGACTCCTGCCAGCCTCTGTGCTTAGGACTGCTAAAATACTTTTATATAAACATCCTAAGGCCTAAAACAAAAATAAATAATAAAACAGGAGTTCAGAGACAGCACAGAAGGAGTCCAGACACCTAGCCCTCCCCTCAAGCCAAGGAGCAAAGTTCTGGCCTCTACCAAGAATGGAGATGTGTGAGCAGAAAGTCAGTTTCTGATGCCTGCCACATGTGGCAAGTGGAATGCCAGGAGCAGGCTGTGGGTGAGCATGGCCACAGCACATGCTTCTTTCCCAGGTGTCCCCGCATGGAACCAACCCAGGGCTTTGGGTCATAGTTCAGCATTCCTCACTCCATCTGCTGCTTTGTGGGATGTCCTCCTCATTCCTTAGTTCCCTGGGGCAATGCTAGGCTGTCTCTAATGCTGGACATTTGACGAGAATCATATTCAATGAGGACAAATCATAAATGAGCTATTCACTTATCATGGGTAACCCCTTAAGGGACCAAGTTGACCTCCCTCTCCCTCATGAGCACTCGGGCTCCTTCAAACTTTCTGGGAAGGGCCTGAGACTCACCATCCCTCCGGGGAGCAGGGCGTGATGCGGATGTGCAGCACTGATTCCTGCAGCCCGTCACAGTTCAGAACCTCCACCTGCTCCTCCAGCATCATGCAGTAAGCCAAGGACTGCAGCCAGACGTGTGCCGAGCCCAAGTGGACAACCTCCACAGGGTCCCAGAAAGGGTCGTCTTCCTGAGCCACCTGGCTGGCTTCCCTCTCTAGAAAGCGCTGGTAAAGTTCCTCCATCAGGAATTTCCGATTGATAAACTTGGCCTTTGACCAAATCCATACCTGGGGAGGCAAAGGGGGTCACCCAGCATCTCAGCTACTTTGCTATTTCTGGGGAGAGACACCATGACCGTGGCGACTTGTAAAAGAACATACTCAACTGGGGGCTTGCTTACAATGTCAGGGGGTTGGCCCATGATCATCATGGAGGGGAGGTTGGCAGCAGGGAGGTAGGCATGGCCCTGGAGCAGTAGCTGGGAGCTTTACATCCTGATTCACAAGTTGGAGGCAGAGACAGACAGACAGATAGACAGACAGACACAGACTGGGCCTGACATGAACACCTGGTAACATACCTCCTCCAACAAGGAGACACCTAATACTTCCCAAAACAGTCCCACCAGCTAGAATCTAAACATTCAAATATATGAGCCTCAAGGGGCCATTATTATTCGAACCACCAGACCACGTATTGTTTCATTTGCTGCTTAAACAACCTCTCTCTCTTTTTTTCCAGTCTGTTCCTCCCCATGGGTGGGGTTTGGGGAAGACCACAATGCTACTCTCATCAAATTTAATTTTTTAAGGCCCTTCCAGATACCATATTTAAAGTGATGGAAATGGAGCCTAAGAGAATATGTATGGCTGATTAAAGACAGAGAGGCCATGAACCAAGCTATATTGGTGGTGTCTAGAAGTTGGAAAAAGCAAAGAAATACACTTAACCACTGATTTTCCACAGAACAACATCACCCAGCAAGACCTGTATGGGACTAACAGCCTACAGAGAGCTAAGGTTATAACCTTGGGTCATTTAATGAGTGGCAATTTGTTATGGACAACAGACAATAAATACAGGAAGACTGGTCTACAGAAAAGCCAAGGGGCTCCACAGCAGAGGCACAGCCATGTGCTGGGGGACAACCCCTTCCACCTTCCTTGTGGCTAAGCACACAGGTACGTTAGCTCCGTCCCTCAGAAGCCCACAAAGGGTTCCATTCTTGTTCAGTGAGAAACAAGTCCAGGACAGGAGTGGCTGTCCTCTCACTGGGCAAGGGCAGGGGCCTCTTCCAACACCTGCTACGGAGAGAAACTTAAGCTGCAATCTATGGAAATCCAGTTGGAAATCTGACTGAAAATGTCCCATCAGAAGTGTTATGACGGGCTGGAGAGATGGCTCAGTGGTTAAGAGCACTGACTGCTCTTCCAGAGGTCCTGAGTTCAATTCCCGGCAACCACATGGTGGCTCACAGCCATCTGTAATGAGATCTGATGCTCTCTTCTGGCATGCAGGCAGAACACTGTAGACATAATAAATAAATGAATCTTTTTTAAAAAAAAAAAAAGTGTTATGGTATCAAACCAAAAAGCCCTTCTCTGGGCAACTAAAATAAAAACAGAAGCCAATGGATAAGGCCTTGTCTCCAGGAATGTCACCTTCAGTGGGACCGTTGCAGGATAAACACAGATTTTTCTGTCTCTCTGGCCTCTAGGCATGCAAGGAAGCACCATACAGAGATGTATGTTTCTGTCTCATGCACACAGACAGACACAGTCACCTTTACCATCTGCGTAAACTTCCAGGTGGTTTTGTTTGTTTGTTTTTGTTTTTTGAGACAGGTCTCTCTCTGTATTCCTGCTGGCTCTCCTGGAACTCACTATATAGATCAGGCTAGCCTCAGGGATCCACCTGCCTCTGCCCACGGACTGATGGGATTAAAGGTGCACACTACCACCTTGGATCTCTGAGTTGGAGGCCAGCCTGGTCTATAGGCAGGGCTACACAGAGAAACCCTGTCCAAAAAAAAAAAAAAAAAAAAAGAATCAGGTTGTAGACAGGTCTGTAGAGCATTTCTTCATTAGTGATTGATACAGGAGAACAGAGCACAGCATGGTTGGAGGGACCACCGTGGGGTGGTGGTCCCATGTTCTCTAAGAAAGTAGGCTGAGTGGACCACGAGGAGCCAGCCAGCAAGCAGCTCCCCTCCATGGCCTCCAGGTTCCTGCCCTGCTTGACTTCCTGCCCTCACTGCTTTCAGTGATAAACCGATACATGGGAGGGGGTGAAATCAACCCTTTCCTCCCCAAGTCGCCTTTGGTGATGGTGTTTCACCACAGCGGGAATAACCCAACTAAGCGCACGGTCACTAGAACAGATCCTAGGAACTGGCACTATGAAAGACCAGGACACACAACAAAGGGTCCCCAGACTCAGCCCCTACTCAGACAACATCTGGGTTTTTGTCTAGGTCTCCTGGATGCAGCTGACCAAAATCCCGTGGACTTTGGAAGCTTTCCAAGGAGACTCCTGCCTGCCCACTGATGGGGTCTTACCTCGTGAGTCCTCGGCTTGGTCACCTTCACCATGACCTCTTTCTGGAGGTCGTAGCCCCTGGAATCTGACGATGCCAAATTCTTCACCTTCAATTCCATTTTGAGCCCCTGGGAAAGAAGCATTTCACTAGATGACCCCTAGCTCATATTTCTTTTGTGTTCTTCCCATTCTGCCAGCCTCGGGCTCTGTAAAAGAACACAGCCTGGCTCTTCTTGCTCCTCGGAGTTCCTGCCAAGCCAGATAGCCGAGCGCCAGCATTTCCCAGTGGGATCCTGGAACTAACACTTATACTTCCTAAGTCGGTTAATTCCCCTCCTGCTGACTGGGATCCTGTGTCACCAGGAGCTAACCTCAGTCTAGGTCCCCTCTGTGGCATATCAGCCACTGAGGTGCTGGACAGGTGATGCGGACATCGGAGGCGGTCAATTACGGCCAGCAAGTATTGGTCCAGGAGGCCAGTGGCTCTGAGAAGTAGGGCAGATGCTCAGCTGGCTGGGAAGGCCTGAGGATTAGTCTAATTCTGTCACTAGCTCTCAGTGCCATGGTGGGAAAAGCCTCGTCCTTCCCTAGACCTCGGGCCTTTGGGGGCCTGACCTTTGTGGGGTGAAAGGTCACCTTCTCTAGCTCCTCACTCATCTGGTTTGCTTCCACAACCAGCGGCATGAGTTTGATGTAGTCCTGGAACACAGCTAAGACACTGGGCTCGGCTTGGCCATCTCCAGGGCTCCCAGTACCTAAAGAGAGTCACGGAGGAGGTGAGTCTGTTGCTTGTTCGGATACTTTCAGCTTTCACAAGACACACACTCAGATGTTCACTCACGGAGTTGCTCATCGCTACCTCGAAATCTTGGCTGTCCTAGTTCTTGGTTTCGAGGCCCTCGGTCCAGTGTGGTTCTGGACTGTCCAGAAAGGAGGGCCAAAGGGAGCAGAAGCAAATGGACCAGGGGAGGGAGGTAGGGTTCTGTGCTGAATCCTCGGTGACGCAGCAACTAATCTTTTTTTCCTTCAGTCGTGTCTGGGTGCTATGGAGGAAGGGTCATAGCGACTATGGGAGTCCCCAACCCCCTTTCCAGACTTGGAGGAGCACTGCCTTGTGTGAGGACCTGTCTGCTCTTCAGAGACTCCCTGCCCATGGGTCACATGCTACCAATGCCTCAGAACGTCCCACCAGGCTGCCTTGAGAACCCGCCATCATCACTGGGACCTGGGTGCTTCAGCCCAGGCCTGAGGTTTGATGGACTTCCTGTCATCACTATCCTTGTGCTGGGAAGGCATTCTACACAATCAGGTATGAAGAAGAACTAAATGAAAAGGTGGGTTAATTGTGGATGACCTTGAGTGTGTGTGTGTGTGTGTGTGTGTGTGTGTGTGTGTGTGTGCAGGCGTGCAAAGAAAGTGACCAAAGAAGGGTGTCAAGGGTCTTCCTCTATCATTTTCTATCCCCCTGGGCAGCATCTCTCCATGAACCTAGACAAGCAGCCACCAAGCCCCAAATAACCCTCTTGTCTCTGTCCCGCCTGAGACAACACCCAGCTCTTTCCATGGATAATGGTATGAACACATATCCTCATGGCTACGAAGCTAGCATTCCTAACCACTGAGCCATCTTGCTACCCCTGGCCTTGGATTTATATCAAGAACTTCAGCAGAAGGTGGCATACATCTGTACTCCCGAGACTCAGCAGGCTGAGGCAGGTTAACAAACTGATACCAGCCTGGGCTACACAGTGAGTTTTGAGCTAGCCTTGGGTACCTCGTGAGATCTGAAAAACCAAAACAGAGCTATGTATGGTGGCTCATGCCTGTAATCTCAGCACCCCACTGCTCCTCACCGGCGGCCTCCCCTGAGAAGCCAGCACACCACAGAGACCTCAGTAGGGTCCAGCCCACCCTGTGCACATGACGTTGGGGCTGAGGGAGGAGGTGTGGGACGGTGTTAAGGAGCCTCCACCTGAGGAGTAAGGGGGGGTGGGTGGGCAGAGGGGGAGCCTCTAGGAACCTGTGAGGAATCCTAGAGAGTGCAGGGGTGGGGTGGGGTGAGGGGCAAAGGAGGATCTTCCACTCAGAAACCTAGAGCTGAAACTTCTTCCAGACTGAGGCCTGGACCTGCAGAGCCGGCCTCCCTCACCCTCCCACCCCACCCCTCCCCACCCCCCAAGGTCTTTATCTAACACATCCATCTTGTCTCAGCATTCTGGCCTCCACTTGTGTGTAACACTCTGCCATACCAAGCTTCATACCACGGACGATCTTCACCCTCATCCCTAGGGATGAGGTCAGTGAGTTCAACGCCTCTTTGACACGTATTCAGTTTTCTCTATTTCTATTCCTCTATTTCTATTTGGGGGCTGAGGATGTAGCTCAGTGGAGCACTGGTCTAGCATGTAAGAACACGAGGCCTTGGGTTTTATACCCAGCGTGCACTCAGAGGGGGAGGGGAGGGGAGGAGGAAGAGGGAGAGACCGCACAATTTAACTTTCCCCATACTGTACTCTGACTCCACGAGAAGAGTTTTATGTTTTCACAGGAAGTGCCCGAAGGCGGGTCCAGGACCACTTACCAAGCATGTCCACACTCACTCCCTCGGCGGCTGCCCGCTCCAGCTGGAAAAAGTCGTAGTCGAATCTGCTCCAGTCTTCACCACCTCGCTCCGAGGGAAACCCGATGTAGAGGAAGGCACTGTTGGATCCCAAGATGATGCGGTCCTGGGAGGGAGAGCATAGGGAGGAAAGGCCTGGCCTGCTCCCGGGGAGCTGAGAAAGCGCTTGTCTGTCTCCATGACTACCCAGGCTCAGCCCTCTTCCAGTCAGAGCCTCCGAAGCAAAGCACAGGGGTCTGATTCAGATTAGGATTTCAGAAGTCCTCTGGGAAAGCAGAAGGGTTAAGCGCAGACCTTATGTGGGGGCTTTTGTTTGTTTGTTTTTGTTTTGTTTTTTTTTTTT